TATTTGTAAAAATTTTTATTAAAAAAAAAATATATTATTAGAAATAATCAAATTAAATATTTATTTGAATTTACTGTAGCTTATATTATAGTAGTTTATTGCTAATACAGGCCAAAATTGTAAAATTCTAAAATATTTCAAAATTTTGAAATATTTTACTTGCAAAGTATTCTATTCCTATATATCACAACTATATATAATATAATAAGGAAATTTTTAGAAAAATTAATACTATTGTTACTCTGAAAAGTTATCTGATTTATAATATAGTAACTTGAATATTCTAAAAAAAATGAACACAAAATTGTGATCTTAGATTGTTCATACTATTCTACAAATATATAAAAGTATAGATAAGTTAATTCCAAAATTGATAGACTGATGATCAATACTAAGATCAAACATATAGAAGTAATGGTTCTTATAATAAATTTTTAATAATAAAAAAAAGATCATTATAGAATAAATGAATATAATATAGAATTAAAATAAAACAAGACTTTTTTTGTAAATTATAGTTTTTGAATCATATATTTAAGATCTCTAATTTCATTTTACTTTCTCTTTAGACTTCGACTCCTTCCCTACTATTAAAATAGTTAAATTCTTAATTTTTTTATATTCTTTGCTAATTATTTATTTAATAAAAATAATCTTTCCATGTCTTTATATTTAAACAACTCTATAAAATCTCAATTTTGTTTAGTAATGTATTCATATAACCTGTAAAGAGAAGAATACAAACTTCACAAAAAAAGTTAACAAATAAATCATTTAATCTTAATACTCTCATATACCTAAAGTTAATAGCCTCTTTTAAACAAGTTTTGTATTCTCTTAGTTAAGTCTTAGTTAGATACAATACTAATCATTATTAATTCAATAATTATAGTTTTTATACTATATTACTACACTTCTTGGATCATTTTGAGAGATTGATTCAAGTGTAACACTGTAAATAGCTATATAAAAGATCCAGGTCTGTTACATTTCTCCAATTTTAAACCCAATAGTAAACCCATGGGTTTATTATACAGATATAGATCTAATATATGGGATCTAGTACTAGACAATATATATACTGTATAGCATTAACGATACAAGTATTACTAGTACAGTTATCCTTTTTTTTTTTTTTTTTTTTTTCTTCAGCAAGTCCTGCCATGACCATATGACCTCTCCAGTTATATACTCAACTCAAAGACTGGTTACTGCATACTTTTTGCACAGGACCTGGCCTGGACCTCAGGTACTATATTGGGTACCTGGATTCGACCACCTGCACCAATGTTTGGAGATGTCAGATCATCTTTCTATTGTACTGGGATTTCACCAGCCAATCTGGTGTTGCTACAAGTTCTTGTAGTATCTTTATCAGACTTGGTCTCACATTACGTCTCATAACTTCAGTTAATCCAAATCGGGGTTCTAATACACTTCGCTTCACAGCTACAACTTCTCGGAATAACTATTTACCGAATACGTCTATCTGTAGATATCCCGGGTTCTCTGTACCCCACAGTGTTTCACTTCCATTTTCGAATTTTCATTAATTCGCCGTTGGGAGGAATTGAACTGACAACCGTCCGATTTGCAACCTGGGAGCATAACTGCTATGCTATTGACCTACAGATCCATAGTTATCCTCCTTTATAATCACATGTTTTATATACTTAATAACTTTTTTTAAAAAATGTGCTTATAAAGAGGTTGTGCTTATATAAAGATAGTTTTTCATATGTTTAATAGTAATTTGTTTTTAAGTATAAAATATGATAAAGAGAGGTTTTTATATGATGTGATTATAGAGGAGGTGATTATAAAAGGGGATAACTGTATCATATCTAGGTTTTTTATTATTTTAGATCTTATAGTATCATATATTGCCAAAAATAAACCATCTCTGAAAATAAGCTACCCTCTCTTTTTTTGAAGAAGAAATATAAGAAAATTTGTTATTTTGAAAATACTATAATTTCTTAAAATCTGAATGTAGTTTCTATATATAAAAGTCAAAAATCTATTAAGTAAATTGATAAAAGTCACTTAATAGGAGTTGTTCAGAACATAAAAATACACATATTATGAAAGTTTGAAACAAATCAGAAAACTTTTTACTAAGATGTTTTTGCATTTTACATTCAAACGTAAAATGCAAAAACATCTTAGTAAAAAGTTTTCTGATTTGCTTCAAACTTTCAGAATATGTGTATTTTTTATGCCCTAAACAACTCCTATTAAGTGACTTTTATCAATTTACTTAATAGAATTTTGACTTTTATATATAGAAACTACTTCTGAATTTTAAAAAAATAATAAAAATTAACCAGTTCGAAACTTTACCTGAAAATAAGCTACTCCCATGATTTTTGTGTCACTTTTTTGGCCAAAAAAAGTAGCTTATTTTCAGAAACCTATGGTATACTTGGATCTTTTATCTTTATAAAAATCTTCACCTATATTGTAGACCTGAAATGATATATAATGAGTTTACTATCATGAGGAGTCTTTTTTTTTTTAATTTTTTTTTTTTAGCTCTTTGACAGCCTTGCCAGAGCTCAAATACAATACTTTATTTAAACAAACTTGGACAGAATGAATAATGACAGTATAGAAAAATTGCAAGCCTGGCATCTCCCGGCTGCATCTAGTGTGCTCAAGAGTGACTTGTCGCACCAACCTACATGTAAGTTAGAAGACCTTGTCAGCCCACCAAGAGCCTATTCCTTCATTCTTACTTTCTTCACCGAGAGCAAAAGAAAATAATGTTTTATATTCTCAATACTAGAATGTATATCAAAAAGAAAAGAAGTTTATATACAAAAAAAAAACAGAACAAGAAGGGGAAAATAATAAGAAATAAAAAAGAAGAAACAGAAAATGTAAAAAAACAAAAAATAAAAAGATAAACCCTGACAGGCTGAACAAGAAAAAGCTATCTCCCATAAGAAATAGCAGCTACCTCTATCAAGAAATAGCACACAAACAAACAAAAAAGAAAAAGAAAAGTACACTATTATAACCCATGCCAGGCAGGTATAAAAATTATATAACAAATACAATATTTGTATATCTCTACTGTAAAGCTTCGCCTTAACATTAATGTTTCTTTCTGATAATTTTGCAAATTGTTATCAAAATTAAATTGGGATTGAACAGGAATAAAACACAAAGCATTTATTTACCAATAAAAGTGTGAAATATTTCAAATCGGCTATGTTATCAAAATGAGATTGAAATATCTCAAGTTGGTTTGTGTTATTGAAACAAATGGGAATGTAATTTTGAATACATAGTTTTATATAAATGAGACATTTTAAGAATAAACTTAATTGTGGAAACTTAGATTTAAAATTTTACAAATAAATAATTCTGATTTTACATTGTTAAATTATGACAACTTAATTATGTAATAACTCAAAATTTTATTATGTGTAAGTACCCACATTACATAGTAATTTTATTTTGTCTAGACATTGGTGGTTTAAAGCTAAATTTACAGAGTGATCTCAGAAATTTAATTCTAATGAAATATTTTGCAATATTGGCGAACGTATTATTTAATTTGTACCTTTCATTTACACCAGATAGCACGTGCCGTGATGTGTTTTCTGGATTACCATGTGACTTCAGGACTTACATTTCTAGGCTAATTCGGGTTAGTTGCCCGCTAAAATGGACGGTTTAAGGGATAGTCATAATAAAAATGTCTACCCGGGTACGATCTCTATAGCTGTGACAATTATTATTGTTATAAATTGTAAGCAGATCATGATATTTCGTTAAATTCCCTAAACCCTAACCTAACTATTACTAGGAAGTTAGAATCTGATACTGTAAGATCCAAAGCAAATAAATTTTACGTGATTGTCAATATAATTTTTATCGTATAAATGTGGTAAATGCATTGTTACATTTAAATAGGTGCAGACATTTGAAGAGTCAAAGGTAGCTACCTCTCACGTCATATAAGCCTTAAGTTACAGTGACTGCTTGTTTTCGTCGGACATTGCATAGACGCGCATTCAGTTGTATAGAGTCCTCGCTTCACTTCGGACAAAAAAAAACCTAAAAATATTAAATAAAAATTCAAGCTTCAGCCGTGACAAATATTATCGTAATACAGATGGTTAAATTTTGATCGACGCAATTAGCCAATCTCCTGCACGTATAAATGCAGATATATCGATATATTATATTACAAGTTAATCTCGTTCACATATACTCCTAATATAACTCCTTTTGCAGCTGATGTCAATATTCAAAAAAGGCATAATAGTGTGTATCCTCATTACTACATACCAAAATCTGGGGAAGTGTCACATGATCTAAATATCCCATTAAAAGATCTTCACTTCTCTTCTCCGTTCCGCTTATTCAATTATGAACTCACAAACACCGACAAAGGACTATCATAGTCGTAGTTTTATAGGCTCAATATACTCCAAATTGGTTCGACTATCTTATTCTTTACTTTTTGACCCTGCGTTTTTTTGGTACACTGCAACCTGTTTGCTCATTGGAGAAGTGTTATTAAATATATTTATAATTAAATATGTTTCATGTAAATACGATCTCTCAGAAATTCATCGAGTTTACAGAAAAATCAAATTCATTATAAAAATTTAATTTTGTGCGTTTAATTCCAATTCAGATACAGAAATTGATTGGAAAGCATACATGCAAGAAGTCTCGATATTTTTGAACGGAGAGAGAAATTACACGAAAATACAAGGAGATACTGGTCCATGTGTGTAAGTTACTAATTATTTCATTATAATTTGTCAATATCCATATATACATTAAACTTTATTATCTTTATTAGATATCCTGCTGGTTTTGTATATATATATTCTGTTCTATACTATATAACTTCGGAGGGTGTTGACATTTCAAAGGCACAGTACATATTTGCTATATTATATATGTGGACATTATACGTTGTTTTTAATATTTATCGTAGAAATCAACGGGTATGCAATTTGGAGAATTTGAAGAAAATGCTAATTGTCACATTAATACCTCATCATAATCTTGAAGAATTTGAAAGAAAAATTGCTAATTGTCACATTTTGATTGCTATTGCCTCATCGTAATATAGATACCACCATATGTCTTAATTTTCCTATGCTTGTCTAAAAGGCTCCATTCTATTTTCGTTCTTAGATTATTCAATGATGTTATCGCTATGGCCTTTTTGTATACATGTATTTGGACAATGATTAATAAAAAATGGAAACTAAGTTGTGTACTTTACAGGTATTTATTCTTTTTGCGATTCTTACATTAATAATAACCTTATGTGAGCATAAAAATATTTAATGACTGTTTAAAACTCCTTATGGCCAATTAATTAGTCTGGCTTTATCCGTCAAGATGAACATTCTTTTGTTTTTTCCAGCGTTTGGTGTTCTTTTATTCAAATCATTGGGGGCACGGAAAACTTTTAGTTATATATTATTAGTAGCATTAATCCAAGTAAGCTAACAATATATATAATATATTTATATATAGATTTTTACTTTGATTTATTTATTTATTTTAACAAAATTGATTCGTCATGGATTTAATAATTTTTACTTGTTTAGATCATTTTGGCATTTCCATTTCTGATAACATATCCACGATCATATTTAGGGCAAGCTTTTGAATTTTCTCGTGTATTTTTATATAAATGGACAGTAAATTGGAAATTTGTCACGGAAGAAACATTTCTTAGTAACGGGTTTTCTAAAGGACTTATGATTGCTCACGTCTGGGTCCTGATAGCTTTTCTGTTTGGAAGTTGGTGTCGGTAAGTATAGTACCAATTTTTATATCTGATTTTATTTTTTTTTTCAGAATGTTTATAACATATAATATGTTAATATAAAGCTCTGATAATGGTGTGCTTCGTTTGTTGCGCCTTGGATTTTTTGGAAAACCTTCCGAAATGGCTAAAGTGAAAAAGACGGTTACTGTTGATCGTATGTTGATATTGTTTTTAATATTGCTTAATTAATAATCTTATACAAATTCATATATTGCCTATTGTATATTCACCTTTAAAATCGTATCAGATATAACTATGCTGATGCTGACAAGCAACTTTATTGGAATTGTGTTTTCTCGAACTCTACACTACCAATTCTATTCATGGTATTTTCATGGATTACCTTATTTATTGTGGCATTGCACAAAAATTCCAGTCTTTTTTAGGTAAGTTTGTTCATTTATCGTATTTTTGTATTGGTGTTGGATTATTTACTCACTACCACTTTAATTGCATTATACAAGATTTGGCATTATCGCTGCAATAGAATATTGTTGGAATGTTTACCCTGCTACAAGTGAAAGTTCTACCTTACTTTTTGCTTGCCATTTGATGGTATTGATGGGATTGTGGAGTGGTGATTCAGAGGGAAAGCGAATTACATATAAAAACCAACATGGGAAGCATTTGGCCAGAGCATAAATAAATTTGTAATTTAATCATCTTTTACAAACAAACAATGTCTTCACACTTCATATGGTAAGCAAATTAATTTTATTTTTTGTGCGGCGCACATCTTTTTTTGATGGACGTGTGGCCAAGCATTTAATGTATATAAATAATGCGCATAGTTTTAGAAAAGCAGTTGTGCACGTTTTTTTTTTTCCACACACGATAAGATTATAAATTGTGCAGTATCTACACAATCAATTCTAATTAACAATGGTTTCAGTCATGTATTTAATCCTAAAAAAAAGTGATCAATAAACATGAGTATTACAAGAATTTTACTATTGGAGTCTCTAGTAATATTAACGCTGAACTCTGGTCAGGTTATTATTCATCAATCTACAGTTTTCAATGTTAATGGAAATGATGTTAAGAACTGTAATAATCAGACTCTTTGATTCTTTATTATGATCAATGATTTTCACTGTAAATTTTAACGGAAAAAAATCAAAAAAACGTGGTACAATTCAAAAGTTAAAATATAATCCTTATATGGTAAAAAGTTATTCCAATCTATCTAATTCACAGATATTTAAAGCCATTACACCATATAGTTATATATGGTAAAGTAACTGTTAAAAAATTATGCTTTCTAAATTAGAAAAGTGCTATTTATCATGTAATGTTTTTTACTTAGTATCCACCCCTATTTATGTATGGTGAAATTACTCTATCTCAATTCTGATTGGTTATATATATACTGTATATATACTGTATATATTTTTATATTTATTAAAGACAAGATTTTGCTACAATCTTTATGAATTTGTAAAGTACCTTTAGATGTTACAATTTTTTATATTGTTTTCAAATATTTAAAACAATATTTGTTATCGGAATTCAAGAAATCTGTACCAGGTTTTGTTAATTATTACAGTCAGGGAATATTGATTGGCTTTTGTATGACTTCTTGCCAGCAGTTTTAGGAAATTTTTTACACATTTTATTTATTGCTTAAAACTCCTAAATAAAAGCATTAACAGATAGTAGAAAACATGTATTTAAATAATCTACAATAATCCACTCTTGTTAAAAAAGTAAATAAACTATTAAAAAAGTAAATAAGATTTGGAATATTCTAGTTTGCATAATAACAAAATTTTTTTCCATTCAGTTGATTTGATTGGTTAGTAATCATTCTTGGATTGACATAAAGAAATTTCTGAAACCATTAGATTAACATTCTATTACTATAAATGATGTAATCAGCACTGTATATTTATGGTATATTCCCTGACTATACTAGGTAAATAGAGACCATTTAAGGTCCAAAGGACTTATCACAGATCAGTCTGACAATAGGTATTTTCGGAGCAAAATATTTGTTTTTATCAATCAACCAATCAAAACCCTTAATTAGTGAACACATACACAACCAGCACAGGTCGAAAGATAAAAAATCAGGCACAAATCAGGTACTCGATTTTAAACTGATTACTGCCTGATTACCACCTGATTTATGCATATTTTTGTACCAAAAATTTGGTACAAAAATAT